GTCCTGACTCGCGCACATTTTCTAGCATAAGGCCCAAGTTGATTCTTTTTTCCTTTAATTTTTTTACAGACGCTTTTCTAACGCCTGCTAAATCCAAGATTTGCATTTTTTTTCGAACATTTTTTCATCAAGCTCAACAACACGTTTACGTATGGAATCTACTCAAGGACTGGATCGAATCTTTTATGAGAGTATCTCATATGCAGACAGATTTTTAATGCGCAACAAAAAAAATTTACTTTCATATCGTAGTTTTATCGTAGTTTAGTTATAATCCATATAGATTTCTGATTTTTTGATACTAATCTAATGTTTTATCAATCCACAAAATACTTAACATCTGAACAATCAATTGCAGTAGTAACAACATTTAAAATATTCTTAAAATAATATTATACATGCATACAGCGTTAGCTATTCAGTTAGCGTGGAGTGCCAGAAATAACATAATGATCGTACTAGAATGAAAGCTCCGAAACGATCTTTCTGGTTTCTAGTTGACGAGCTGGCATTTTGTATATGAACTTATTTTAGAATTTATCTGAGCAATCATATAAACAAAGAAATACATAATAGTAAAAATACAACTTTTATTAATAATCTAATATTTGCAAATTGTTATAAGAAACAGTCTCTATTCTACAATCACAGCGAAAAATTCGGAAAGAGTTTTGGTTATACTTGGTCATCTCGTCGTTCCATTTCTACCATTGGAATTAGATCGATAATATTCAAGAGTTGCTGGTCTTTCAGGAGGCTAAAAATTATTTAATGATTTGATTAATAATATGAACGAAGCAGTTTTATCAGATATTCTAAAACCGTTCACAAGTCTGCTTGATAAGAATAGCAGAAAGACAAAAACTCCAAGTTTAGAGGAAAAGTCTAAGAAAACCAAACTATGGGAAAATAAAACATCCAGAAAAAAACATTAGATTCACTTAAACAAAACTGTGTAAAATTTAAACTTGAATTCGAATTTTACTTCAAATCATATTTAAGATTTTCAACTTTCCCAACTTTCCCAACTTTCTTTTACATATGTCTTGTGCTACTTCCTTATCCTCTCATCTTCTGTCACTCGGATGTAGAATTATTCTGGTACATTCTTCATTGGCTGGAGGGCTTCTGTGCAGTTCTCTTCTCAGATCCTTCACCGTGGGGTAGGTAGGTAGTGAGAGTGAATGAGAAAAGAGTTGTACAGAATCAATGAAGAATGTACGAAAATAATTCTACATCCAAGTGACAGAAGATGGGAGGATAAGGAAGAAGCACAAGATATATGCAAAAGGAAGTTGGGAAAACTGAAAGTTTCAACTATGAGTCGAGGTAAAATTCGAATCCAAAGATTATCAACAAATCAAAATGATAAATATTGTCGAATGTCAAATTCACCTAATGATGTAGACACTCACTGCTCACCAAAATAATTTATCAAACACATATATTACCTGTGAAACAGTCGTTGCTGCAGCAACTAAAACATATTACCAGAAGGAAAAATCTATGAGAATGATCTGTATATGATTGTTAAACATGTGAATTATCAGCGTTAAAACAATACCCAGAGAATGTTGTACTTACCTTTAACCTATTATTTCACATTACTGTACAATGGCTATAGTTTAGTTGACTTAAAAAGCAACAACGTTTGGTGTGCTAGAACTATTCTACTTTCTGATTTAGACTTAGAGACTTCTGTTTTAAGGTCAGCCGAAATATGCAACAATCGATGCTTACCATCAGTGTTTTGATGATCAAATGAACCTGAAATTAGAAACAGTACTATTGAAATGGAATTATGTATCAGAACCAATCGCGTTTTAGTTTCAGCTATGGCGATTCCTCTTAGACTCCAAGAAATCCAATCATCATTACTTGTCAGAATATTTTACTTACCAGGCATTACTGAATAGAGATTATATTAACGTCAATTAATATTAGATTATATTATATTATTTTATGTTCGTTATCTATCTGCGACCACTGCAAATCAATTTTGTTTCTGCTTTTTTCTCGAAAACAATCTGACTTTTATAGATAATTGAAAACAAAGGGTTTTTATTCCAAAGTACACACCTGCCATATATTTTAATTCGAGTACGGAGACTATCCACTGTACAGGCGAAAAAAGAACAACAAGGTCAGAAAATACCTTTTCGCAGAAATTAGAAATAAGTTAAAGTTTAAACAGCTGACAAAGTGTACATGGGCTGTTCACAGACTAAATGTTTGTAGACAGTCTAGTGATAAAAACTATAGACTATTAAAAAGTTATGATTTATTTACCCCGAAATTACTTTCTGTACTTTGGGCGTATCTGTGTGAGTGTACTCATACACTTCAAGTTTAAATACTGGTGTTCATTTCAGAGTAAAGTTTACCAGATTGCTGTGCCGAGACTGGACAGACCAGTGATACAAGAGTAAACTAGATCAACAAAAGATTATGTTTTGCAGGTAATATTTTGACTTTTATTTTGAGTACATAAAAACGATCAAGTATGAACAAAAAATCAAGGGCCTATTGTCTCACTAAACAATTCAAGTTTTACACAGCAACATCGAAATTAAATCAGTTTGGTTATTAAGTTTATTCAGAACAAATTACGAGTACAAACACTGCATAATACTCAATAGCTTTATATGTTTTAGGAAACATTGTAGTCAAACTGATTTAAAAATACTAAACATTCTAGATAAAAAAAAGGTATATTGCAAACGTGAAGATCATAGTTGACTAGCAGCTTGCTTATCGAGATACCATCGTACTTGTGTTTTTATTGCTGGTCTTATTTTCCCGATAGGATATTGTTCATTTTTGTCTTTAATCACTTCTTTCACTATTTGAGATTTTGCTTCACCCATTGCCACAATCAGCACATGTTTAGCTTTGTTAATCGTCGTTAAAGTTAACGTAATTCGTTCTTGAGGGGGTTTTGGACTATCTTTTATATATGTGACTAGACAGTTGTCAACATCTAATACTTTATGATTAGGAAATAGACTTGCAGTATGTCCATCAGGACCCATACCCAACAACAGAATGTCAAATGTTTCGTCATTAGTCGATTGAACAGCACTCGGTTCGTTTGTTGATGATTCCTAAAAGGTCGACATAAACAGTTATTAATCAGAAAAACATATGACAAATGGACAAGTGACGTGAAAAAAAGAAATCAATCTTTTTCAACATATCGTTGCTTGCACCTAGAGTGGTTGACATAATTTTTAGCAATTTTCCTTTCGTACAAGAGTTAATAAAAGATGTGATGAGTTATGTGTTTATTTGTGTATTTTTTCTGTTTCTCACCCTGCATCCGAAACAGTAACGGGTCTAACTAACTAATTAAATTTAAATAAATTTAAAGTCGAAACTTAAACTTGATTCATTTTTCTCAAACATACGAATCAAACGAGCTCAAAAAACTGAACAAAAGCACGTCATTTTCATCAATTAATTTTATATTTTACAAACATTGATCCTAAACTCAAGAATCAAAAGATTCAAATGAAATGCATCTTTTAGAGAAGAGTTTTTCCTGAATTATGGCAACTCTTACGATCTGTCAACGAATTGGCTTATATCTTTGAATTCTAATTTTGAATCAATTAGTTTTTATAACAATTTTTTGTCAATAATGCTCGAGTAACATCGAGATTGAAAACTGAAAGATAAAAACTAATGTTTTTATCAACGTAAAGACCATCTCCATTAAGTCGTATAAGTTTAAAATGTCGAACAGTAAAGAAAAGCGCCTTAAAGCTATGTCGATCAATTTGTAGTACCTGTAGAAGACGTCGTAGTTTGTCTTCGTAATCTTTTGCACACTCTTCTACCGTCAAATCAGCATTAATTTTTATAACATGATCTTGTGTTAATGGTAATTGTCGAAATAATTGTTGATCATACGCGTGATAAGTTGACTCGTTGGACGTAAATGGTACATGACGTTCATCCACAAAAAAGAATCTTATCTGTGGCCATGGTAATTGAAGATAAGGTAGAGTATTTGCAAGAATTTGCACCAGACTTCCACCCGATAATCCAATAGTAACAAATTGTTTTTGTTTTGATGCAGCGAGATCTTGATCACCTTTGGCTACTTGTTCAGTGGTGTTTCGAACTGAATGATGAACACCATCGGCACATGAACGACGCAATAGATAATTAATAATTTTTTCAAGTTGGTAACCGAGACTGGTTGATAAAGGTTGTTCATCGTCATAGACATTATACGTTGATTGAGGTGTAGATGTCATTGTTATCAAAAAGCATAGAAATAACAACGATTTCACGTTAATATTCACCGTCGTTAATCTAAAACACATATATAGCTGTAGTTCATTTCAATATTCTATTTTTGGTATGGATTTTGATGGACATACTGTCCGTCTATTTCCTAATCATAAACTATTAGATGTTGACAGCTGTCTAGTCACATATGTAAAGAAAACAGTCCAAAACCATCTCAAAAAATTATATAACCGGAACAAAAAAATTAGTTATCGATCATGAGAACTTTTCCGATACACTCATCCGGATATATTGTGATAACTAAAGTATATAGTGGACCACTATATCAGGATACAAAGATAGCGGATTTAGATTGCGGTCATTTTTATACTACGATATATCTAAGCGTTTCGACGTTCGTGATTAGGGGTGGTATATTACTGTTACTCATGTACTACATTAGAAAGTAATCCTAAACAGTATTCCTATTACTGCTAACAGTACTACTAAAAAGTATTTTTTATATCTTCGTATACATCCCAGCTAGCAGACATGTACAACTGTACACTTATTCGTAGCATTCTGGTCATCGTGATATATCCAGACTCTTTATAAGTACTAATAAGAAGATAAAACTTAGAACGCGATAACTCTGACTTAGGACAACTGATCTACCTTCGGAATACAAAAGTTATTGCAATAAAAATAAACTATTCATATATTTTGTGAGTCTAAACGGCAATTCTAACTATTTTCTATCACAAGACTAAAAATGTCTATCGCAATCGTAATAATTCATGGACACACCATACCAAAAAAAGATCATACTTTAACAAAATATCAGTTTTATCGCCATACATCTCTAAATATCGGGATAAAAATCATGATGTGAGAAGGATTTGTCGAATTAATATCCATAGCATGATGTAGTGGTCGCTCTAACATATCATGACACTCGACTTTATCAGATAAAAATCAGTCTATCGCTGTGTTTATTAGTTTTTCTATTCTTATCAGGATATATCGCTTTTATTTTTACACTTTTGTCCTTATGATTAAGAATACAAAGTATTTTACTTATAGACCGTTTAAGAACAGAATAATTCATCGCCATTTTTTTAACCAACTGTTGAATAGTGAAAGCTAGGAAGCTGTGTTTTTCTGATATGGAAAGGGAGATTGTAGACCATCTTTTTACAAGCAGAAACCTTTTTAAAGGTTCAAAAATGGATTTCTGGAATACTCGTGCATAACGAAAAAAGTTAAAATACCAAACTATTGATTTTTCTACATCAGTAGATAGAAGAAAATGTTCACTTCAAAATGGGATCCAGACGATCTCTTAATCTTTCGTGGTTGAGATGTGACATTCGACTTACTGGGAGTCCCATGGTCGATATTTCCTTAGCTGTAGTAATCCCGAAAATGAATGGAAACATAGGTAATCTGCCACACTGAGTCTCGCGGTAGCATTTTTTTTGTCCGAAAAAAGCTTAAAAATCTATTCAAAACCTATATTATGTGAAATAACCCATTTTTGCCTATTTCCACGTAAAATCAGAAAAATCATACCTCACTCAAAACTGATCCAGACTACCTCAGAATATCAAGAGTTACTCTATTTTATCTGTTTCTGTGGTTCTGTAGTTAAGAGTAGTATAAGATATTGTCTTATTTCGGAAGGTTTGTAAAAAAACCTTTCCAAAAGCCCAAGTGTTTTATATTTCTTCATAAAGTTCTGTTGGACTCCTTATGATTAAGAATACAAAGTATTTTACTTATAGACCGTTTAAGAACAGAATAATTCATCGCCATTTTT